AATAAGTATTCAGGCCTGGAGACACAGTGACAACCAGAAAGAATACTAACAAAACAATAGCAAATACCCCGTAGTTCAGTGCAGGAGGAAAGTCCGGCAATTTGAGTCACGATACCAACGCCATTTTTGTCTCCGCCGACGACACATCCGAGAAGGCGGGTCCGTTCCGCCCGATGGGGGTTGACGAATGTCACGAATCCCCATATCTCAACCTATGAGGGAGGTCACGCACAACTGTCATTGTTCGAAGCTGGGAAGCGGGAGAGAGTGCGCTGGACGCTCAATGGATGGAAGGTATCCCTGCTCGGTTTCTCTTATCTAATTGACCTGTTGTATCCGCGCTTCTGGGTCGTGGATTGAGCAAGGGCCTGGTCACTGATCATCGACAGGGCGCGGGAGGGGAATAATAGCAGACTACCTAATCGGGTTGCTTGTACGGTATCGTACGGCTTGATACGCCTTCATAATCGCATCACCAGTTGTGCTCGTTGTTCAGGACACTTTACAAGGGTTGAGGACATGGCCTTTGCGATTGATCTTGCTCCTATGTTTACAATCCTAGTAACAATTGCGTAGGCACCCCGCCCGACTGAACTCTCTGTTTGTCCTGTGGAATATATTGTTGACTCGTACAGACGGTCAACTGTAATAATGTGCCCCGCACGCATAGATAAGGCTACCGCCGGGATCGGAGCGTTGATTGATAAGTGCCGGACAGCCGATAAGCACGACTTTCGGTGAGAATGGCGATGCTGCCCTGGGACAATTATCATCAACATGAATTAATTTCTGGGCTGCTAGGCTAAAATCCGCTCTATAAAGATGCCAAGAGATCGAATCGTGGATAGACTCACCTGCTAGGTGAAAGCACCTAATTGGGTAAGAGAAGGGCTGATGACTTGACGATACCTTTCCCCTATTTCTTCTCAACATACTTTCCCGTCGTTCCGTCTAGCTGGGCTTCCAGGACAGCTGTGGTGCCGTTGAGCACACTCTGGATAGCCTCTGGTAGAAGCTTGCCCAGCTCGGCCACTGTAGCCGCGCGACCAGCCCAGAGCTCACCTCCAGCTGCAGCCTTCGCGATGCCTGAATAATCTGGGGTAGGAGCAAAAGAGATATTGAGATCTTCGTTTGTTGCACGCGAACCATCTCCATTAGGGTGAACCAGCAGCATGCTTCTGCGGGGTGCATTCCAACCCCGGTTGTTCAGCACAATCGTGAGCACTGGGATATTGTAGCGCCGGGCGATCCAGTAAACGGAGCCTGGTACAGAGAAGAGAAACGTCCCGTCGCCCACCACTTGGCACACAAATCTACCCTTGTTTTTACCCCCGTGCTGATCATCGGTAGCCAGCTTGATTCCCAATGCACCGCCACCAGACCATCCCAGGCCACCACCGCCGCAGTTGATCCAGGAGTTGGGCAGGGTGGCACTGATCTGGTCGGCTACAATCGCAGTAAGGGTTACCGCTTCAATGGCCCAGATGGTGTCTTCTGGGCAAGATTTTCGGACTTGAGCCATGAGGTAAGACGCATTCAATGAAGCGTCGTCGCCTCCCGAAGGTACTGCAGCAAGGTCGGCAACAGCTTGACGCGTCTTCTTATATTCCTCTTCCCGGCGCTGACCGAATGCGACTTGTTCTTCAGAGTTGATCACCTCCTGCAGAGCCTTGCTAGACGCGACAAAGTTGTTGATCTGTTTAAATGCAGTCGCAGACTCCGCCCGAAAAGTTGCCAGAGAGGGAATATAGAAGACAGGGATTTGTTGCTTGAGCGGATCAACATCAATGTGGATGATCTTGGCTGAATCCGACGGTTTGCACTGTGTTGGGATCCATGGTACATCGCAATCGGCAACTAGGATGAAGTCGGCGGTCTTGATAGCGTCATGGACACCATAACGGAGCCCTAACGACGCAGGATGGTCGCCCGGAAAGCACATGTCGCTTCCCCCCGTGTCCAAAACCCGGAGTCCTTTGAACGTATCGGCCAGTGTGACTAGTTCTTCCACCCCCCGAGCAGAGCGACCTGAGTAGCCTACAATCGCTAGAGGCTCTTTCGCGGCGGCTAAATGAGAGGCGATCAGCTCGACGCCCTCTGGTGTCAAAGCCGAGGATGCAACCGGTCCCCAGACGCCTTGTGCCAGGGTGTAGGGTTCTATCTCCTCTTCCATAACCTCTCGAGCACCGGTCAGGTAAACGGGTCCTTTCGGGTCACTTGTCGCAAACTGAAGTGCCCTGTTAACCATCTGTTTTATGTTCTTGCCAGACTTTATTTCGGCCGTATAACGACAGTATTGTGACACAATCTGTTTCTGGTCGGGAACGTCTTGGATCCAGTGTATGTATTCGGTACGGGAGCCGCGCATCTCTCCTTCGATTGTGAATGGGGAGAGGCCGGCGAAGATTAGCACCGGAGCACGACCGCAGGAAGCGTTGTGTACAGCAGCGGCTAGGCCTTGTGTTCCGACATCTACGTGGACAATCACGCACTGAGGCTTTCCGGTAAGTCGAGCGTAGCCATCTGCCATAGAGAGAGCGACCATCTAGCGTAGGAGGCAATGTCAGCAGGCTGAAGTCGAACCCGTCTTGAATGAGACAGGTACGAGAGGCGAATCTAGAAATACCTCATTGGGGCAGGTGATGATCTTGGGGAATTGGTCTGGCTTCTCCTTCTGGCCCTTGACCATGGCCTCCAGGATCGATGGATGATCGGAACCCAAGTTGACGAACGCATGTGTGACGCCAGCCTGTAGAAGTCAGCCACTGAGACGTGTTTAATGGCTAAAGCTTCCTACCTCCCAAAGCGCCTCGAAGAAGGCGAAAGATGCGGTATAAACCCTAGTCACAGCAGTGTCAGCTTTTGATGGTGTAGATTTCTAGAATAAGCACATACATCGTCGGGTCTACCAATAGAAAATTGAACCGAGGTGATCAACTTCACTTGATGGTAAGCAAGGATTCCAGATTATATAGAACGAGTGAAGAGAGACGCAAGCTCTCAGATTTCCTATAAATACCTGCAACTCAGCGGAATCATCGCCGTGATGGAGAGAAGTCCGAAGGATTAATAATGGGCATCGCACAACTCAGACGTTTGGCTCTCTATTTCGGCAGTTTCCAATGGTAAACAGTACCCCAACAGAGGGGGGATGCCCGAGGATTAGCTTGAAGCCATCGCAGTATCTCCGCTGCGGGGTAAAGTCCGTTTGACAGTGAGTACTGGCACGCTGCATTGGTTTGCTTATTTGTACGTGTACAAGTTAATCCTATTATAGGAATTGCTGAAGAAGACTGGTGTATCTTGAGGTTCTGGTGGGATGTTTGAGATTCATACTCGGTGACGGTTTTTTTTCATACACTCATCTTCCGGTTAGTTCAATTGTGAACCTGTCTTCCAGAATCAAGACAATCCTACTTGACCCGCCAAAATTGCCGGTATACCGAGGACGTAACAGATGATGTGGAAGTCCCCTTGAACACCTCTAACTGATCTGGGGAGTGAGTAAATGAGGTCTAATTGCTGATAACCTGACGGATCCGAAGCCTACGATGCCAGATGCATATGTCTGCGAGGGACTACCTGACAGTGTTGCTGCTGTTCGCATCTACGGGAAATTTGCCTTCCGATATAGCACTGAGAGGCCTTGCTCAGTAAGCTTTTTAGCCAAGATCTAGCGTGATCGTGACGTTGTGGGATGACATGGATAAACCATTGCCAGGGCCACCTTCACTACTAACAAGTGCATCGCAAAAGAGTCCAGTGTCTGACGTTTCCTACGTTGCTGTCGACTTGTTGCATGACATTATCACCGGTGGGAATATCCTCATGAGGGCAAGTCCATGTACTCAGCTAGTGAGCTGGGCCTCGTCCTATCGCTCAGTCACGTCTTTTTCGGCGACTGGTAATGACAAAGTAATCCGCCCGGGTTGATCGACGCCGTGAATATAGGAATAGGCCATGGCATGTGTAGTTAGACGGTTTAGTGGCTGCTAAGCTTCTTGACTACCTCTTAGCGGGTGGACCACGGTTGAAACTGGACTATCGTATAGTCCCTGCGATGTCCGATTGGGGATTAATAATAGGTTGATTGAAGTTGTCTTCCCAGCCATAAAACCAGTTTGTCGAATCGCTCTGACCGAGGATTCCCAAAACATCAGGTCAAAATGGAACCGAATAAAGCATGTGAAATAAGAATATTATTTAGGCTTATTGAGGACTGTAGATGATATATACCTGAAAATGCTGCTGGGGTGCCTGCGCCTATGACGTCGGCCTCGTCTGAGAGCCCGCTTTAAAGTCCACGCTTTTCGTCATACGCTAAACGATGAAGATGGCGATGGGGCAGAACATATAATTAGAGGTTGCTGAGGTCAGGATAAATCATGCTGCCTGTTCTTAGTTGTCAGTATGGCTCGCTAAGGTGAGATCTAGAACAGAGACCTTCTATACGTCATTCCCAGGACATGTCTCAGGCGCAGCAGTTATCTGACCAGCCTTATGACTCTACTCTTGTAGCAGTTTTCAAGCTGTCTGGAGCAGTTTTCTCAATCTGCCTGAGTTCCTTGGTCATTTGGATAATGCGCCAGCCAACGAGCGATAACCGTACCTGCTGCGACATGATCTCAGATAAGGTGTACCGACTATGCCACCACGACAAGACAGTAAGCTCAGAGCTTGCGATTGATCCAAGCCAATCACCGGCAAAGTTGTTTCATAAGCTGTATCATGAGCACAAACTGAAGGAGAAGCTCGTTGAAACCAAGCAGTCGACCGCTGACCGTCAAGACTCTTTGCAGAGAGCGTATGATTGTGGGAACTGGGGAACAGCAAAACCGAGTAATCTATTTCTTAAGGTTAGTTTGAATATCGCCTCCATCAAAGCGTATTCATGGTAGGTATGATGAATTATTTCTGACTCGCATCTATCAAAGATATACCATGATGCTCTCTGTACGTTGGACAAGAACCCTTTGGGAGGAGTCGTCTCTCCACCACTGATGGGCAGTCACGGAGTCGTTCCCTTGACCATTGTGGCCCCGTTGCCAGATTTGTGTCGGCATGCGGCGAACTGTATCGCTCGGGCTGAAAAAGAGGTATTCTTGGGAACCAATTTTTGGATATACTCCGATGCATCGACGCTCGTAACCAACGCGTTTCGGGAGCTGTCAAGACGAGCAGGCGAGCGGGGGAGCAAAGTGGTTGTGAAAGTGTTATACGACAGGGGAAATCCTCAACAGCTCTGGGATAATCACCTGAGCGTAGGTGAGAAGCAGTATGCGGATCCAAATGGCAAAGTCCGACTGCCACCCTCAAGTGAAATCCCCAACATCGACCTTCAAGTCACCAACTACCACCGCCCTATCTTTGGAACTTTTCACGCCAAGTTCATGGTCATTGATCGAAGGATAGCTTTGCTTCAGAGCAGTAATGTTCAGGACAACGACAACCTTGAGATGATGGTCCATGTCGAAGGACCCATTGTGGACTCGTTCTATGATACTGCGCTGATCTCGTGGGGGAAGGCTTTCAGGACGTCCCTTCCAATGCTGTCCTCTCCGGCCGCAAGCGCGGACATCCCCAGCATCTCTGCTCAGCATTCACAGTCTGGATCTAATGAGGACCTACGTTCTCCGTTACCTGAGCACACGTCTCAGGATCCTCATTATGATTGTGATGTCCAGCACGAGGCGCAAAGGGTCAACAACACGATTCGTCCCCGAGCAGGGGAATCAAAGACTCAAGCTGTCACTCGCCATCTGAGTATGTTTCCTGTCCCCGTGGATAGGCCGCAAGCTAATAATTAATCAGATACTACAATTCAGCGAGACACAACCGGCGACGGCCCAGACAGCGACCAGGAACCTCCAATGCGACCATACGTGACTCTACCACCTCACAAGCCATTCCCCATGGCCCTGGTCAACAGAGAACCCTGGGGAGGCAAGTTCCTCTATTGGTACTTAAGAAAGAATGGAACTGCTAACAATACTTCAGCGCCAAACCATACCAGCATCTACACTCCACAAAACTCAGCCTTCCTCTCCGCCTTCAAAAACGCGAAGCACTCCATCTTCATCCAGACTCCAAATATGAACGCAGAGCCAATCCTGGAGGCGCTACTCGACGCGGTCCGTCGCGGTGTCACCGTCACATGCTACCTGTGCCTTGGCTACAACGACGCAGGCCAACTCCTCCCCTTCCAGAACGGCACGAACGAGATGATCGCGAACCGACTATACCGCTCCCTACATACAGACCAAGAACGCTCGCGACTGCGCATATACAATTACGTAGGCAAAGATCAAACCAAGCCGATCCACAATAAGTACAAAAAGCGAAGCTGCCACATTAAACTTATGATAATTGATGAGCGAGTGGCTATACAGGGTGAGTGCTACACGACCTCACAGATTGCACTTGTACTGACGACTCAGGGAACGGCAACCTCGACACGCAATCCTTCTACCACAGCCAGGAAGTGAACCTCCTCCTCGACTCACCTCTTGTGTGCCGTGCCTGGTTGGAACAGGTGAACCAGAACCAGAATACGGCGCTCTACGGCGCTGTGAGTGCCGAAGACGGGTGCTGGCATGATCCGGTTACTGGTGAGATGCCCAAGGGTTCTATTGGGGTTGACCCTGGACGCTTCAGTTGGGCCAAAGGGTTTATTGGTGCTGTACAAAGGGTGAGAGGTGTTGGAGGATTTTAATTTTGCTCATTATGGCCGGTATCTATTTGCTTTTACTGAACTATACTTTGCTTTGGCTGAGCTGCCGCCACCTACTTAATGTATATATATTCTTTTAGTCAACCTTGTCCATATCTAGAGATGTGTTGGCAAGTGATGGCTATGTCCATACGTTGGTGTATTATGCTGGACATGTACTACTGTCTGTGGCACGTTTGAGCGTCGATGTCTTTACGTGATACCTTCAATGCAACCTCACGCTAGCTTTGTGCATAGGAGCCAAGATGGCTGATGAAGAGGCCCAAATACATTGAATCAAGTATCATTATCATCTACCTGCATTCCATTAACCTGAGAGCACACAATCATTCCAACAGCATGTCCAGCCCATACGACAAACCCATCGTCGACATCACCCAGTATGTATTCCACTACCGGATCGACGACGAGAAAGCTTGGTCAGCTGCACGCGTGGCCCTCCTAGACGCCATGGGATGCGCCATCGAAACAATCTCCACGAGCGAGGAGTGCCAGAAACTACTGGGCCCGACTGTACCAGGCCCCGAGGCCCCGGATGGCTTCCGACTGCCAGGGACGAATCTCAGCCTGGACCCGGTCAAGGGCGCATTCGACATGGGCACTTTAATCCGGTACCTGGATCATAATGATGCGCTAGGCGGCGCAGAATGGGGTCACCCCTCGGGTAGCTAGAATTGTCCCCCATATCGAACTGAGTAGCACTGACGACGGGGGCATAGATAACCTTGGAGCCATCCTGGCTGTTGCCGACTGGCTATGTCGCTCCTCCGCATCAGGGCGATACAAGCACACCGGGCCCCCACTTACGATGCGCACGTTGCTCACCGCGCTCATAAAAGCATACGAAATCCAAGGCTGCTTCCAGATCGGGAATGCCTTCAACGCCTTTGGCATCGACCATGTCATCCTTGTCAAGCTGGCCTCGGCCGCCGTCGTCGCCTGGCTCCTGGGTCTAACCGAGGAGCAGACGATGGCGACCCTGTCGCACGTCTGGATGGACGGCCATCCGAGCAGAGTGTACAGGACGGGCGCGAACACGATCCCGCGGAAAGGTTGGGCGGCGGGTGATGCGAGTATGCGCGCGGTGCATCTGGCTCTGCTCGTGCGTGCTGGACAGCCTGGTGCACGCACGCCGCTGAGTTCGGTGCCGTTTGGCTTCTATGCGCGGACGTTTGGGGCGAGTGGGTTCGAGATGCCACGACCGTTTGGGGTGTGGACCATCCAGAATGTCTTGTTCAAGGTGATGCCGGTTGAGGGCCATGGAATTGCGGCTGTTGAGGCGGCGCTTGTGCAGCTTGGTAAGCTCCGGGCGAGAGGGCTAGGACCGGAATGTATTGCCAGGGTTGAGGTTCGGACGACGCAAGCGGCAGAATCAATCATCAATAAGCGAGGGCCGCTGAATAATGCTGCTGATCGTGATCATTGCATCCAGTATGTGATTGCGCTCGCCTTTTTGAAGGGCTCGGCGCCTGAGGCGAGGGACTATCGAGATGAGAGTTACTGGGCCAGGAGCGAGGAGCTGGCTTCTCTGCGAGAGAGAATCTTCATTCACGTTGACGAGCACCTTACGAGAGACTATTTGGATCTAAATAAGAAGAGTATCGGCTCTGCGCTCACAGTTCACCTGCAGGACGGTTCTGAACTGCCCCAAGTTCTGGTAGAGTACCCAGCCGGCCATGTACGAAATCCTGCCACAGCTCGAGCGGTGCAAGAGAAGTTCACCAAAAACATGCGGCTAATGTTTACCGAGAAGGAGATCTTGAAGATCCTCCAAGAGATTGAGAAGGACGACCTACTCATCATGGATTTCGTCGATCATTTCGCGAGGCAATCATCAAGTCCGAGATTGTAGTGGCGATGCTGAAGCGAGGCGTCTTGCCATCAGCGGGAAAAGAAACTTTTATCTGAATGTCTCAATTTGACCAGAGTAGGGAGTATGTGGCACGTGAGGTAAATTGTGTTTGAATTGCTTTATGGCAGCATTTATCACAGCGGTGAGCGCCAAAGCAAACCGTCAGGATCTCAATAGACGACTACTCAATCTTGCCAACTCCTTGGAGAGTAAGATAAACATCCGTCCCCCAGCCCCACAAACTCTGAATAGCGATACTGCCACCAAAATATTCCGCGTACGCTCTGCTAAGCGGCAATCCATATCCAAGTCCCGCAATACTGCTCAACTGGCCTCCACTAGCAGACATTGTGTTCAGAGCATCGAGATTTCCGTTATCCGACTCCAGCAGGTTTGAATCGGAGAACGTAGTGAAACTATAGGACCAGATGTTGGGCAATACCTCACGGGGGATGCCACCACCTCTGTCCCGTATTCTAATGGTTATGCTCTGCGATGATGGTGTTGAGAATTTAATTGATTCATTTGCATCTGCCGTACCAACCACGGTGTCCATCTCGAAGCCAACATCGGCATCAGGGTAGATACCCGGGGCATTTGACGTTCTCCCAAGCGCATTGCGAACCTGATGGGTCGGAACGTCTGGCGCTGCAGCAATCGTAACTTCAATGGGCTCACGTTCGTTTCCTGACTCAATAACCGCGCGAAATGCATTTTTTAGAAGCTCGGTGATGATGTACTCGACATGCACAGGTACGTGCGCAAACGTGGCATCCGGTTGACCCCCGATCTTTAGCCGCGGCCGCACGCCATATTTCAGCTCACAGATCTCCCCAACGAAATCTTCGCAGACCTTCACGATGCGAGCCGGCTGAAGGGCCGTGTCAATCACACCTATATAATTAGACGGGACCGTGTTCTCAGACGGCTTCTCTGTTCTGGAACTGACATCACTAACTGGCTGCGAGGCAAAGTGAAGGGCCAGATGTTGCTCTGCTATGAGCCGGGTGCCAATCCTCGCTCGTAGATGGGTGTCTAGAAATCGAGTCACATCGGCTGGACTGATATATTTCCTGCATTCAAGAAAACCCCGTGCCAGTATGGGTATTGTATTTGCATGCGTGTGCACTAGGTCCGCCAGTACATCTGCGAATTTATTCTCCTCTTCCAGCGTTGTGACCTGCCGTTGCTGATAGGGCAGAAGAGTCGATAAGGAGTGAACGTAATTGTTATAGATCTTCGAGATGTGTGGGTTCGAAACGACGATGAAGGGAAGGTTCCGTAACGCTTGTATACGAGATGCCAGTCGGGCAGGTAGAAGGGACAGAGTGAAATTCGCAGATGCGAGTAGCGCCTCTTTTGATAAAGGCGGGCGTCCGTGCCTGAAGGGAGACAAGAGTGGTAAGAAATGATCAGATGTCTCAGAAAAAGAGTTGCAGTGCCTCACTCACTTGAGTAGATCTGCAAGCGTCAATGGGCATCTACGGCTAGCCGCAAGACGTGCGACTTCATCATTCGCGCCATGTGCAAATGGCTGATGTAGAGCCGACTCATGTTGATCTGGAGATGGTGATGTCCAGTAACATCGCACCTTGTAAAGGGAGTGGGAAGGCAATTGACCCTTTAGTTGATGCTTGTATCTTAGAGTCGATACCCTAAGAATTCTTGTGGCTGTCATCATGGTCGCTAGCCATCATGAACGGAGCTGAGCGACAATGGTTGAGTTAAGTCATTATTGATATCCAACGATGACTTCACCTTAACTCCGGATCGCCGTCGCAATGACACTTTACCGAAAATGGATATTGACACGTGAGAGGTATCCCCCTAAGCCATGATCGGCGCATAACATCGGATGTAGGGGTATGTCTTCACCAGATGCAACTCTCTGATATGAGCGCATCAACATTAGTGTTTCACATTCAAAGTCTGTCTTGATACTCTGATCCAGTGGTGAATAGCCTTTGCCCTTCACTATACGATGCTCTTCTTCGTGCTCTACTGTGTAGTCTTTCATCTACCAGCTCCCAGTCGATGTCGGTTATGGAATAGAGGAGGACTCGGAGTCATTATCCCGCAGAGAATTACCACGTCATAAGTATACCAGTAGACTATCTATAACGCATACAAATAGCTACACATAACTGTAGCCGAGGCCCAGCTCTGAGGTTATGCTGTTCAGCTAGGGTATCATGCTCCGAAAATCATTGGGGTCCACCAAGTTCAGGTGCTAAGGAGGATGAACGACGGTGAACAGGGAGTCGAGAGCCCTAGTAGGCACTCTGCATCACTGAATCCTGACTTCTTGATCCTTCTCAACATGGACGTGGGGGTTGCTCTCGAGGATACCGACTTGCTCCTCTGGGAATTCAACGCTGATTGAAGGTCAGCCGAATAATTTCCAACTCTGCAGTGCAAAGGAACAATGCCATACGTGAACGCCTTGATGAGAGTGAACTCGTGCTTGATGGTTCCCCCTTGTTCCTGGGCTGACTTCTTTGCTCTGGATGGGAAGAGATAGACGTAAGCATATGCGGCTGGAAGTCGATCGTTAAAGGGGGCCTCACTTCTCCAGCTCCTCGGGTTGAGCATCTGGTTTCAGGGTGATCTAGAATATACAAATCAGTGAAAGCCCGTGGATGTTGAGACTTGTTACAAGTGGACGACAGACATTGTAGAGAGGCATCTTCAAAGACGCTATGCGGATGCTATTAAGGTGTTTAGTTCTTAACTGTTGCGACAGGCAGGAGATGACGATGCGAGAGTCTGGTCGGAATCGAAGGTAGTGAGCCGTAAGAGAGTAACAGAATGGGTCAGGTGGGTAACTTGAGGGGAGAGGGACGATTTATATGGCCTGCGGGGAACCCAGACTGGAAGTGGAAGGGGTCTGATAAGGAAGCAGCTCGAGAGGGGAAACTAGTATGGGAAGGCAACCACCTGTTGGTTCCAAAGTCGTGCCTCGGGGCTTACGCTATCAGAACCATACAATAATGAGCATTCAAACTATGAGTAAAAGAGCTGATTCGTGGTGTATCTATCTAACTCAGAACATTCTGAAACCTCTGCGTGATGTGTTACAGCGATAGAGATTGCAATGCTGTTGTCATTGCGGGAAATCAGTGATGAATGTTTACACCCCACTCGCGCAACTACTACACTGCAGATGGAAGAAACCGTAACATACGCATTAAACTTCTTTTCAGGTTCTGAACCCTTGTGCAAGTCGAGCAAGATGACGCTATTCTGCCAACAAATTAATCAACGTGATAGATTTATGCACCGACAAGGCGGGTTGACAAGGCTCCGCGCATCTGCAGTGTAGCAGCACGATGACGATATCGAGTGAGCTGACGAAGGCGGGGCAATCGGGTCACGTGTATGTACATAAAGTGCTCTACAACCCTAGAACATCATTTCCGAATGCTCCTTTTTGGAGGATTGTATAATAAATTGAACTGGGTTGTAAATTTTAGCTACGCAGTCTACGGTAATTGCAGAACTGCCTGCCATTTGTGGGAAATGTCGGCGCTGACATTGGAAAGACGCTGTGATCTGGTCTCACTTCTTCAAAACGGAAACGAGAACTTGACTGTTCGACCAGGTGAAGTCCACTTCGCGATAGGAATAGAAGCATGAAACATGGCGTTGTTCAGTACTCGAACTCGGATTCCATTTGCGCAGAGCTTCCTAGGAGGTAGAAAATGGGCCATGGACGCAACTATAGTCCAACATAGCCACTATCATCGGTTTCCCGTCGTGGCATTTGCAACCCATGCAGGCCCCTATAATTGCGGCTCTCAGGCTGTTTCCAGCCATCCAGTATCTTGGGATCAGCCAGCTTGTACACCTCCACACCCAACGGACGGGTAGTAGCTCCCATCTTCTCGCCCTTCTCCTCCCATCCCCATTGAGAGAGATCTCCTGCAGTTGACCTATTAGCATCCTGTACCGGTCTGGATTCAACTTAGAACGCATACCTCCAGGGCAAGCCGACAGTGCACAGAGCACATCTACTTCGGCAAAGAACTCAAAGTATTCTCCCGGCTTAGCTGGCGAGGTCTCCATGAAGTACTTTCCCTGCTCATCCAGTCCCGTTACCTGAAAGACGTTAAGCACATCATGGACATCCAATTCCGTCAGGCCATAAGGCATGACCGCGCGCGTCAAGTTCGAGTGGCAGTGGAAGTCAAAGGTTTCTCCACCCATAAGCAAATTGACGTAGGGATCGCATCTGGTTCCAAGCAAATCATGGACGCGTCCACCCCATTGTGTAGTACCAAATCCTACACCCTCCTTCCGCTGGCCGTTAACTTCCAAAACCTCATGCAATTGTCCACCATTCAGGGAGTCTCCAGTTATGGTGACGAGGGGCCGTAGATATGGCAGGTTTGACCACAGGCGGTCACCGACCGACACATGGGAAGCGTGGATTTGACGCGTGCGAGCAGCCCAAAGTCGCTCTCGGGGATTATTCGCATTCCAAATGTTGAGATCGCCCACTTGCGGCCCTTTGGGTGTAGTCAGTCGACAGACATGTCCGGCTGGCACCACCCAGGCCTGTCCGGAGCAGGGACGGATAGTGAATGATGTTTCGAGAATCCTCCCAGAATCGCTGGAAGCACTCTCCGAGATACTCCTATAGACTTGGGACGTGCCATACACTGCTGAATCCTTAGCCGCAGTGTACGCGGGTGGTGGCCGACGAGATGTAGACATTATTATGGGTGTCTTCGCTGAAAACCGCTGCTATAACCTTGACTCAGAGCCAAATGACGGTTTGCGCCAGCGGATAACCTCTGGCTTAAATAGGGGAGCCAATTCGGCTTCAGTCCGGAGGCGACCGCATGCCACATGGTATCAAGCCCCGCTCATTACCCCAAGAGCCCAGAACTGCCCCAAGTTTATCAGCGTTTTTAGTTACGAGATGGATACTGAACTCCGCCGTCTCTCCAGATATGCCGGGCCGGATCCTAGGGCACCGCCCTTATCGCGTATGACCG